GTTGGCCAGGCTAGTCTCGAACTCCTGACCTCAAGTGATCCACCTGCCTCAGCCTCTCAAGGTCCAGGGATTACGGGCGGGTGCCACCGCATCCGGCCAAAAGCCATTTCTTTTCCAATCATTTCCTCTTACCACATGCAACAATGACTCTCCCTGACATATGCTGTTTGGCCCCTGATAAGCCAATATCTAGAGGAAGTGGATCCTCACTGGGTCAGAGGAAAGGTGCGTTTGAAATTTGTCTCGATAAATTACACTCCAAAGAGGTTAATGAGATCTGCTTCCTCAGTGTTCAACATAAGGGCCTCTTTCCCTGTAGCCTCAACAACACAAAGTGTTTTCTTTTCTTTTTTTGTGGCCTCACTTTGTCACCTAGACGGGAGTTCAGTGGTGTGGTCATGGCTCACCGTATCCTCAACTTCTCAGGCTCAAGCGATCCTCCCACCTCAGCCTCCCGAGTAGCTGTGACTACAGGTGCGTGCCACCATGCCCAGCTAATTTTTGTATTTTTTTGTAGAAATGGAGACTCGCCATGTTGCCCAGGCTGTTCTCGAACTCCTGGGCTCAGGTGATCGTCACTATCTTCATCACCTGTAGAATATTCTGGAGTGTGGTTGTGCCTTAGTTTGTTTAACCACACTTCTATTAATGGACATTTAGGTTCATGGTCCCAGGGCTGGGGACCTCCAATCTAAGACATACTGTTACATAATCACAATAAATGACCAAATGCAGGAGGGGGAAAGCTGATAAACTACTAAGATGTTATACACTATTCACCTTCAAAATTCGGCAATAATGCCCTTAATAACATTATTTTTTCTTTTCTTTTTTTTTTTGAGACAGAATCTCACTCTGTTGCCCAGGCTGGAGTGCAGTGGCACAATCCCAGCTCACCGCAACCTCTGCTCCTGGATTCAAGTGATCCTCCCTCTTCACCCTCCCAAGTAGCTGGGATTACAGGTGTGCACCACCACACCCACCTAATTTTTGTATTTTTAGTAGAGATGGGGGTTTTGCCATGTTGGCCAGGCTGGTCTTGAACTCCTGACCTCAGGTGATCCACCTGCCTTGGCCTCCCAAAGTGCTGGGATTCCAGGCATGAGCTACCGTGCCTAGTCAACATTGTTTTTTCTGATGGAAGATCCAGTCCAGGGTCACACGGTGCCTTTGGCTGTCATTTCTCTTTAATCTCCTTTAATCTGGAATACTTCCTAGGTTGTTCTCGTCTTTCATGACCTTGATCCTTCTAAAGGGTCAGGAACTGTGGCTCATGCCTGTAATCCCAACACTTTGGGAGGCTGACGTGGGAGGATCACTTGAGCCCAGGAGTTTGAGGCCAGCCTGGGCAACATAGTGAGACCCCCTCTCTACAAAAAATAAAAAATTCGCCAGGCATGATGGCACAAAATTGTAGTTTCAGCTACTCCAGAGGCCGAGGTTGGGGAATTGCTTAAGCCCAGAAGGTTGAGGCTGAAGTGACCAGTGATCGCATCACTGCACTCCAGTCTGGGTGACAAGCAGAGACAGTCTCAAAAAAAGAAGTCACTTCTGAAGATCATACTTCAGCTGGTTTCTAGGATGCCCTTCGATTTGGGTTACTTCTTTTTTTTTTTTTTTCTTTTGAGATGGAGTTTTGCTCTGTTGCCCAGGCTGGAGTGCGATGGCACTGTCTAGGCTCACTGCAACCTCCACCTCCCAGGTTCAAGTGATTCTCCTGCCTCAGCCTCCCAAATAGTTGGGATTACAGGAGCCCATCACCATGCCCGGATAATTTTGTATTTTTGTGTTTTTAGTAGAGACAGTATTTCACCATGTTTCCCAGGCTGTTCTCCAACTCCTGACCTCAGGTGATTTGCCTGCCTCGGCCTCTGAAGGTGCTAGGATTAGTCATGAGTCACCACATCTGGCCTTTTATTTATTTATTTTTAAAACGACGTCTTGCTCTGTAGCCCAGGGTGGAGAGCAGTGGCATGATCTTGGCTCACTGCAACCTCCACCTCCTGGGTTCAAGTGATTCTCCCGCCTTAGCCTCCCAAGTAGCTGGGACTACAAGCATGCAACCACCATGCCAGCCAATTTTTTTTTTTCTATTTTTAGTAGAGACTGGATTTCACCATATTGGCCAGGCTGGTCTCAAACTCCTGACCTCAAGTGATCCACCTGTCTTGTCCTCCCAAAGTGCTGAGATTGCAGGCGTTAGCCACTGTGCCCAGCACATTTGGGTTATTTCTGATGTTTCTTTGTGGTTAGAGTGGCCTCATGTGTGCCTGCTGGGGACAACTCTGAAGTGGCATGTGTCTCTCGGCGCAGCCCATCAGGAGGCACGTGATACTGCTTTGTCATCACTGGTGACGTTAACTTTGAGCCCTTGGGTAAGGTGGTGTCTGTAAGATTCCTGCACAGTATTCTCTTTATAATTAAGAAGTAGGTCGGGCGCAGTGGCTCACGCCTGTAATATTAGCACTTTGGGAGGCCGAGGTGGGCGGATCACAAGGTCAGAAGATCGAGACCATCCTGGCCAACATGGTGAAACCCCGTCTCTACTAAAAATACAAAACTTAGCTGTGTGTAGTGGCATGAGCCTGTAATCCCAGCTACTCAGGAGATGAGGCTGGAGAACTGGAGGCAGAGGTTGCAGTGAGCCAAGACTGTCACTGCACTCCAGCCTGGGTGACAGAGAGACTCCATCTCAAAAAAAAAAAAAAAAAAAGGAAGTAGCCTGTGGGAATATACTTTGAACCTGCGTAAAATATCCTGTTTCCCAAGAAACTTTCAGCCACAGGTTTTCGATCCATTTATTAGTCTTGCTTGAATCAAGTGTTGCAAAGATGGTTGAAAAATTAGACAGTTTTTGAACTCTGTCATCTTCTACCCTTATCAATCGGCTTTCTGCTGTGAAGTACGGATTCCCCTTCTCCTCATGAATCAATTAATTTTTATTTTTATTTCTTCTTTTATTTTCAGACAGTCTTGCTCTTTCCCTCAGGCTGGAGTGCAGTGGCGCAATCTTGGCTCACTGCAATCTCTGCCTCCCGGGTTCAAGCAATTCTCCTGCCTCAGCCTCCACAGTAGCTGGGACTACAGGCCCATGTGGCCATGCCTGGCTAATTTTTTGTATTTTTAGTAGAGACAGCGTTTTGCCATGTTGACCAGGCTGGTCTCGAACTCCTGACCTCAACTCAACTATTCTGCCCACCTCGGCCTCTCAAAGTGCTGGGATTATGGGCGTGAGCCACCAAGGTCAGACTATTTTTGTATTTGGAATGTGGACTCCTGAATTCTTGCTTGATGTTTTATTCTCCATTCCTGTTGTTATTCATTGCAATATTCAAATTGTTGTCAGTCTGGCCAGTAGGAGCTTCTTCAAACTGTCATTTTCATGTCTCCATCCCTTAGGTAGCCTGTTCTGGGCACCGTTTGTACTTCCTCTGCTCCAGCCCTGGGGTCAGCCATTCTCTAAGGTTCTCTTCTCAGAGAATGGTTCTTAGAACTTTTACTTTTGTGTTTTAATGGCAGCTTCCTTGGGAAGGGAAGGAAGGAGCACAGAACTTTGACTTTTTAACCACTGTCCAATCACTTCCAATAGCATCCCTGGAACCACCAAACAAAAAGACTTTCCTTTCTGGGGCACGTGCTCCATCCTCATGAGGGAAACTGTATAAGTTGCATCTTTTAAAATTCTTCTTTTTGGTGAGGTGAGGTGGCTCAAACCTGTAATCCCAGCACTTTGGGAGGCTGAGGCAGGCAGATCACCTGAGGTCAAGAGTTCAAGACCAACCTGACTAACATGGAGAAACCCCGTCTCTACTAAAAATACAAAAATTGGCCGAGTATGGTGGCACATGCCTGTAATCCCAGCTACTTGGGAGGTTGAGGAAGGAGAACCACTTGAACCCGGGAGGCGGAGATTGCCATGAGCTGAGATTGCACCATTGCACTCCAGCCTGGGCAACAAGAGGGAGACTCCGTCTCAAAAAAAAATCTTCTTTTCTTTTTGAAAAGCATTTAATTAGGCTGGGCACAGTGGCTCTCACCTATAATCCCAGCACTTCGGGAAGTCGAGGCAGGCAGATCACCTGAGGTCAGGAGTTCGAGACCAGACTGACCAGCATGGAGAAACCCTGTCTCTACTAAAAATACAAAATTAGCCAGGCATGGTGGTGGCACATGCCTGTATTCTCAGCTACTCTCAAGGCTGAGGTAGGAGAATCGCTTGAACCCAGGAGGCGGAGGTTGCAGTGAGCCAAGATCTCACCATTGCACTCCAGGCTGGGAAACAAGAACAAAACTCCATCTCGGCCGGGCGCGGTGGCTCACGCCTATAATCCCAGCACTTTGGGAGGCCGAGGCGGGTGGATCACGAGGTCAAGAGATTGAGACCATCCTGGTCAACATGGTGAAACCCCGTCTCTACCAAAAATACAAAAAGTTATCCAGGTGTGGTGGCACAGGCCTGTAATCCCAGCTACTTGGGAGGCTGAGGCAGGAGAATTGCTTGAACCCAGAAGGCAGAGGTTGCGATGAGCTGAGATCGTGCCATTGCACTCCAGTCTGGGTAACAACAGCGAAACTCTGTCTCAAACAACAACAACAAAAAAAACTCCATCTCAAAATAGTAATAATACTAATAATTATAATTTAATTAGGCTGAGTGCAGTGGCTCATGCCTATAATGCCAGCACTTTGGGAGGCTGAGGTGGGTGAATCACCTGAGGTCAGGAGTTCAAGACCAGCCTGGCCAACATGGTGAAACCCTGTCTCTACCAAAAATACAAAAAGTTATCCAGGTGTGGTGGCACAGGCCTGTAATCCCAGCTACTTGGAAGGCAGGAGAATCACTTGAACCCGGGTGGTGGAGGTTTCAGTGAGCCTAGATTGTGCCACTGTACTCTAGCCTGGGCGATAGAGTAAGACTCTGTCTCAAAATTAAAAATAATAACAATAATAGTAATTTAATGATATAAAGTTCCTGGCAAAGGTGGCGTCTTCTCTTCCAGGTGAACCTGGGCCCAAACAAAATGGTGGTCGACCTGACAGATCCCAGCCGACCCCGCTTCACTCTGCAGGAGCTGAGGGACGTGCTGCAGGAACGCAACAGACTCAAGTCCCAGCTCCTGGTGGTGCAGGAAGAGCTGGCGTGCTATAAGAGGTGGGCTCCGCTGCCTGGGGGGGTCCCACACCCAGACCTGACCCAGAATTCCTTGCTAGTTTACATATTTGTTGTTATGTTCATTCAACCAATTTATCGAGGACCTACTATGTGCCAGACACTGTTCCAGGCCTGGGGCCACTGCAGTGAACAAAACAAAGACAGCAGAAATCCTTGCTAGTCCAGTGCCAGAGACAAGCAGTCAACAAGGAAGCTCAGCCCAGAATAAACACCTGGGGATGGTGGCAGGTGCTCTGAAGGAGACGCAAGACGACGTGGCCGGCAGCGATGTGGGAGGGGCAGAGCCTGTCTGAGAGGGGTGGTCAGGGCAGACCCCTCTAGGGAAAGACGAAAAGGAGGCAACCCCGTAAAGACTGGGTGGGAGGAAGTAGAGCGGGAAGTGCAAAGACCCTGTGGCGGGGCCAGTTCAAACAGGCCCAAGAAGGCAGAACCAGGAAAGCACAGGGGAAATGGTTGGAAAGAAACTGGGGGCGTATGCCTTGTTGGCTGCAGGAAGGGGCTTTCGTTTTATTTGTTTGTTTATTTATTGAGAGAGGATCTTGCTGTGTCGCCCAGACTGGAGTGCAGTGGTGCGATCTCAGCTCACTGCAGTTTTCACCTCCTGGGTTCAAGCGATTCTCCTGCCTCAGCCTCCCAAGTAGCTGGGACTAGAGGCACACGCCACCATGCCTGGCTAATTCTTTGCATTTTTTGTAGAGATGGGGTTTCACCATGTTGGCCAGGCTGGTCTTGAACTTCTGGCCTCAAGTGATTCACCTGCTTCAGTCTCCCAAAGTGCTGGGATTACAGGCGCGAGCAGCCCCGTCTGGCTGAGCTTTCACTTTATTGTCAAGGTAATGAGAAGTCATTGGAAAGTTTTGTTTTGTTTTATCTTTTTGAGACAGAGTTTTGCTCTGTTGCCCAGGCTGGAATGCAGTGGTGCGATCACAGCTCACTGCAGCCTCCACCTGCTAGGTTCAACCTATCCTCTCACCTGGGCCTCCCAAGTAGCTGGGACCACAGGCATGTGCCACTGCCCCTATTTAACTCTGTGCGTGTGTGTGTGCAGAGACAAGATCTTGCTATGTTGCTCTCAGACTGGTCTTGACCTCTTGGGCTCAAGTGATCCTCCCACCATGGCCTACCAAAGTAATGGGATTTCAGGTGTGACCCACTGTACCTGGAAAGTGTTTGTTTTGAAACAGGGTCTCACTCTGTCACCTAGGCTGGAGCACAGTAGCACAGTGGCACAATCGCAGCTCACTGGAGCCCTGACCTCCCCAGACTCAGGTGATCCTCCCACCTTAGCCACCCAAGTAACTGGGACCATAGGTGCATGCCACCATGCCCAGCTAAGTTTTGTATTTTTTGTAGAGACAGGGTCCTGCCGTGTTCCCCAGGCTAGTGTCAAACTCCTGGGCTCAAGAGATCCATGTGCCTCAGCCTCCCCAAAGTCCTGGGATGACAGGTGTGAGCCACTGCACCTGGCCGATGTAAAGTTTTGATAAAGAGAATGACAAGAGGCCAGTCTCTATTACAAATACCAAACTGCCAGGTGCATTGACTCACGCCTGTAATCCCAGCACTTTGGGAGGCCAAGGTGGGCAGATCACGAGCTCAGGAGTTCAAGACCAGCCTGGCGAAGATGGTGAAACCCTGTCTCTACTAAAAATACAAAAATTAGCTGCACGTGGTGGCAGGCGCCTGTAATCCCAGCTACTCAGGAGGCGGAGGCAGGAGAATTTCTTGAACCCAGGAGGCAGAGGTTGCAGTGAGCTGGTATCGTGTCATTGTACTCCAGCCTGGGTGACAAGAGTGAGACTCTGTCTCAAAAAAAAAAAAATTAGCCAGGTGTGGTGGCACACACCTGTAGTCCCAGCTACTTGGGAGGTTGAGGCAGGAGAATCACTTGAACCTGGGAGGCAGAAGTTGCAGTGAGCCAAGACCAAGTCTCTGCACTCCAGCCTCAGTGACAGATTGAGACTCCATCTCAAAAATAAAAACAAAAACAAGAAACCCTGGTGCAGTGTTACGTCCAGCACTTAGGGAGCCTGAAGCAGGAGGATCACTTGAGCCCAGGAGTTTGAGGCCAGCCTGGGCAACACAGCAAGACCCTGTCTCTGAAAAAGAAATTTAAAAATAAGGAAAGTTTAAAAAGACTGCAGTGGTACCATGTACAGAATAAATTGTAGGGCAAGCAAGAGAGTCTGTAAAAAAAGCTGTTGCCATAATCACATTGGGACTTGTAGCTGTTTCCATTTGTGCTGTTTCCCAAAATGTTTTCCTTTACATAGGTATTTTTTGAAAAGGGGATTGTGTAGTTGACTAATTCTGGGAAACACTGAGTTAAACGCAGCATGTTTTCTTACAGGTAGAGGAAGGAAAAACCAGGGGAATAAAAGTGTAGTGCTGGCTAGTATTTATTGATATTCACCATGTGCCAGGCACGCTGCTAAATGTATCCCAAGTATCATTTCAATTAGTGCTCACAGCAAGACTGAGTAGAGGTGATCACATGGTGAGCTGAGGACCAGAGAGGTGGGCACCTGCTTAAGCGGTGGTGTCAGCAGTGGTGATGTGACCTTAGACAGTGTGACATCAGAGCCTGTGCTTTTTTTTTTATTCTTGAGACAGAGTGTTGCTCTGTTCCCCACGTTGGAGTGCAGTGGCACGATCCCGGCTCACTGCAACCTCTGCCTCCCAGGTTCAAGCGATTCTCCTTGCTCTGCCTCCCAAGCAGCTGGGATTACAGGCATATGCCACCACGCCCGGCTAATTTTTGTATATTTAGTAGAGATGGGGTTTCACCATGTTGGCCAGGCTGGTCTCGAACTCCTGACCTCGTGATCCACCCACCTCAGCCTCCCAAAGTGCTGGGATTACAGGCGTGAGCCACTGTGCCCAGCCAGGCCTGTGCTTTTAATTAGCATGCCACGTTTAGATCATGAAAGCTTGGAATTAAGGACATACGCTGATCAAAAATGAAACAAAGCCCAAGTGATCGATTCTTTAAATTCCTTGAATGTAGCATGTTTAAGAGAGCAGCAATGCAGCAGAAGCGATGTAAGCAGCCAGATTTATTGTCTCTCTTTTGCTGAGGCTGGAACAGTGTTCATGGAAAGACCTGTCTTCGTCTCGTTTAATAAGTGGTTCAGGCACAGGTAGTTAAAAAGAGAAACTGCCAAGCTGCGGATGTCGTGAGCAGCTTGTCAGTGGGCAAAACCACACACTTTATTTCTAGTTTTGAATTCTCAGAGAACAAGAGACGCACACTTTCCATCTGGCACAGGCCAAGAGAGGCAGGATTCTGCTTCTCTTACATATTCTGGAGAAGCCAGCATGCCAACTGAGATGTTCTCATAGCAACTGCATCCATTTGAAGGTCCAAACTCATACGGATAATGTACTGGTAATAATTTGTGATTATGGCTGAGCACAGTGATTCATGCCTGCTTCACCCAGCACTTTGTGAAGCTGAGGCAGATGGATCACCTGAGGTCAGGAGTTCAAGACCAGCCTGGGCAAACATGATGAAACTCCGTCTCTACTAAAAATACAAAAATTAGCCAAATGTGATGGCACACATCTGTAGTCCCAGCTGTTCAGGAGGCTGAGAGGCAGGAGTGTTGCTTGAACCTGGGAGGCAAAGGTTGCAGTGAACCAAGATGGCACCAGTACACTCAAGCCTGGGCCACAGAGCAAGACTATATTAAAAGAAAAAAAAAAACGCCAGGCGCAGTGGCTCAAGCCTGTAATCCCAGCACTTTGGGAGGCTGAGGCGGGTGGATCACGAGGTCAAGAGATCGAGACCATCCTGGTCAACATGGTGAAACCCCGTCTCTACTAAAAATACAAAAAAATTAGCTGGGCATGGTGGCGCGTGCCTGTAATCCCAGCTACTCGGGAGGCTGAAGTAGGAGAATTGCTTGAACCCAGGAGGCGGAGGTTGCGGTGAGCCGAGATCGCGCCATTGCACTCCAGCCTGGGTAACAAGAGCAAAACTCCATAACAAAAAAAAAATTGTGGCCAGGCACAGTGGCTCACGCCTGTAATCCCAGCACTTTGGGAAGCCAATGCAGGTAGATCACCTGAAGTCAGGAGTTCAAGTCCAGCCTGGCCAACATGGTGAAACCCCGCCTGTCCTAAAAATACAAAAAAAAATAGCCAGGCATGGTGGCACGCGCCTGTAATCCCAGCTACTCGGGAGGCTGAGGCAGGAGAATTGCTTGAACCTGGGAGCAGGAGGTTTCAGTGAGCCGAGATCACACCACTGTACTCTAGCCTGGGCAAGAGAGCAAGACTCCTTCTAAAAAAAAAAAAAGTTGTAATTACAGGGAAATATGGGTAGGTTGTTTCCAAAGATAGCCACAGGAGTATTTCCACCCTGCATACCTTCAGAGACTTTGCCACTCCCTTCATGAAGAGGTAGATTCCGTTTTCCCCTCTCGTTGCATGGAGTCTGGCTCTGTGACTTCCTTTGACTGTGAGAACAGGGTGAAGTGATGCTGTTGGTCTCCTGGCTTTAAGGAATACGAGGCCTGGCTTCTGTTTCTGTGCTCTTGGAATGCTTCCTTGAGAACACCATTCCGTGAGGAAGCTCAAGGTAGAGTCCCTTGGAGAGGTGATGTGAAGGAGAACCAGGGGGCCCCTGCTGACAGCCCCAGCTGTGCCTAGCCCACCGCTGATCCCCCACTGGACACAGCCAAGTGAGAAGCTCAGGCTAGCAGGAGGGCCACAAAGCCAACCATAATGTTGGGAACAGATACTTGGTGCCACAAAGAAAAATTGGCACTGAGACAAAGGATTTTTTCAGCAATGCAATTTTTACTTCTTGGACTACAGGAAGGGGACCCTCGCTAGCCATCATGCCATGAGAGTACAATGAACAAAGGAAAACCCACAAATTTATTCCTTACCCATTTGGAGTTGTCCTTACTGCTAGGTCTGATCTCCGTTGGCTGGAGCCAGACCTCACAATCTAAACTAAAACCCAATTGGCTAACAACTTAAAACTTTTCCAAACAGGTAAAAGCAATGGAGAGCTGGGACATAGCTGTGAGCATGTCCAGCACAGGTATCTTGGTTAAAGTACAAGGACATAGAATGTACTACATGCCTGTAAGCACGGCATGTCTAACAGCTGCATAGGATAGGGCTTAACAGAGTTATTAGCACACTTATTTTTTAATAAGAAAGGAAACTTTAAAAAGGAACTTTTCTACTTCCCACACATAAGAAGCTGGAGGTGGGGCACGGTGGCTCATGCCTGTAATCCCAGCACTTTGGGAGGCCGAGGTGGGAGGATCACCTGCGGTCAGGAGTTGGAGACTAGTCTGGCCAACATGGTGAAACCCCATCTCTACTAAATACACAAAAAAATTAGCCCGGTGGCCAGGAAAGATGGCTTATGCCTGTAATCTCAGCATTTTGGGAGGCCAAGGCAGGTGGATCATCTGAGGTCAGGAGTTCAAGAGCAACCTGGCCAACACCCCATCTCTACTAAACGTACAAAAATTAGCTGGGTGTGGTGGCAGGTGCCTGTTATCCCAGCTACTCAGGAAGCCAAGGTAGGAGAATCACTTGAAACCCAGGAGGTGGAGGTTGCAGTGAGCCGAGATCACACGACGGCACTCCAGCCTGGACAACAAGAGTGAGACTCTGTCTCAAAAAAAAAAAAAAAAATTAGCTGAGCGTGGTGGTGTGCGCCTGTAATCCCAGCTACTTGGAAGGGTGAGGCAGGGGAATTGCTTGAACTAGGCAGATGGAGATTGTAATGAGCCAATATTGTGCCACTGTACTCCAGCCTAGGTGACAGAGTGAGACTCTGTCTCAAAAAAAAAAAGTATATTAAATAATAAAGACCCACTCTTTGCAAAATTATTTTATGAAGAAGGAGGGAAAGTATGAATCCTGTCCTTTTACACTCACACTGGAAGAGGTATCTTTGTCAGCTCGGGTTGCCACAAAATAGATGGTGAGCCACTGAGCCCGGCCAGAAATTTTTATTAAAGGTTACACAATTCGGCCAGGTGAGGTGGTTCATGCCACCCACTCTCAGGAATTCAAGACCAGCCTGGCCAACGTGTTGAAACCCCATCTCTACTAAAATACAAAAAGTTAGCTGGTGTGATGGCAGGCACCTGTAATCCCAGCTACTCGGGAGGCTGAGGCCAGAGAAGCTTGAACCCGGGAGGTGCTTGAACCCGGGAGTGCTTGAACCCGGGAGGTGGAGGTTGCAATGAGCCAAGATCACGCCATAGCACTCCAGCCTGGGCAACAAGAGTGAAACTCTGTCTCAAAAAAAATAAAAATAAGCACTGTGTGAGGCCAAGATGGACAGATCATGGCCAACATGGTGAAACCCCGTCTCTATTAAAAAATGCAACAAGGCCAGGTGCGGTGGCTCACGCCTGTAATCCCAGCACTTTGAGAGGCTGAGGCAGGTGGATTGCCTGAGCTCAGGAGTTTGAGAGCAGCCTGGGCAACATGGTGAAACCCTGTCTACTAAAAATACAAAACATTAGCGGGGCGTGGCAGCATGCGCCTGTAATCCCAGCTACTCAGGAGGCTGAGGAAGGAGAATTACTAGAACCCAGGAAGCGGCGATTGCAGTGAGCCAGGATCGCACCACTGCACTCCAGCTTGGGCGACAGAGCGAGACTCCATCTCTTAAAAAAAGAAATACGCCCCTCAGTCGCCTCGCGCCTGCAGTTTTTGGCTTTCAGCCCCCACCAGTGACCAAAGACTTAACCACTCCCTAGAGTCCAGCTCCACAGAACACTGCTCGACATGGACACCGGTGTGATTGAAGGTGGATTAAATGTCACTCTCACCATCCGGCTACTTATGCATGGAAAGGAAGTTGGCAGTATCATCGGAAAGAAAGGAGAATCAGTTAAGAAGATGCGCGAAGAGAGTGGTGCACGTATCAACATCTCAGAAGGGAACTGTCCTGAGAGAATTATCACTTTGGCTGGACCCACTAATGCCATCTTCAAAGCCTTTGCTATGATCATTGACAAACTGGAAGAGGACATAAGAAGCTCTATGACCAATAGCACAGCTGCCAGTAGACCCCCGGTCACCCTGAGTCTGGTGGTTCCTGCTAGTCAATGTGGCTCTCTCATTGGAAAAGGTGGTTGCAAGATCAAGGAAATACGAGAAAGTACAGGGGCTCAGGTCCAGGTGGCAGGGGATATGTTACCCAACTCAACTGAGCGGGCCATCACTATTGCTGGCATTCCACAATCCATCATTGAGTGTGTCAAACAGATCTTCGTGGTCATGTTGGAGTCCCCCCCGAAGGGCGTGACCATCCCGTACCGGCCCAAGCCGTCCAGCTCTCCGGTCATCTTTGCAGGTGGTCAGGCCTATACCATTCAAGGACAGTATGCCATTCCACAGCCAGATTTGACCAAGCTGCACCAGTTGGCAATACAACAGTCTCATTTTCCCATGACGCATGGCAACACCGGATTCAGTGCAGGTTTGGATGCATCCGCTCAGACTACTTCTCATGAACTCACCATTCCAAACGATTTGATTGGCTGCATAATCGGGCGTCAGGGCGCCAAAATCAATGAGATCCGTCAGATGTCTGGGGCGCAGATCAAAATTGCGAACCCAGTGGAAGGATCTACTGATAGGCAGGTTACCATCACTGGATCTGCTGCCAGCATTAGCCTGGCTCAATATCTAATCAATGTCAGGCTTTCCTTGGTGACGGGTGGCATGGGGAGCAGCTATAACAATGCAGATTCATCCATAATCCCTTTCTGCTGTTCACCACCACCCATGATCCATCTGTGTAGTTTCTGAACAGTCAGCGATTCCAGGTTTTAAATAGTTTGTAAATTTTCAGTTTCTACACACTTTATCATCCACTCGTGATTTTTTAATTAAAGCATTTTAATTCCTTTCTCTGTTCAGCTGTTGATGCTGAGATCCATATTTAGTTTTATAAGCTTCTCCCTGGTTTTTTTTTTTTTTATTTTGGCTCATGAATTTTTCTGTTTGTCATGGAAATGTAAGAGTGGAATATTAATACATTTCAGTTTAGTTCTGTAATGTCAGGAATTTTTCAAAAAAATTAAAAGATGGACTGGAGCTTTTTCTTTGTGAATAGAAAAAAAAAAAAAAAGAAAAGAAATACATGGCCCGGCACGGTGGCTCACGCCTGTAATCCCAGCACTTTGGGAGGCCGAGGCGGGTAGATCAAGAGGTCAAGAGATCGAGACCATCCTGGTCAACATGGTGAAACCCTGTCTCTACTAAAATGCAAAAAATTGGCTGGGCATGGTGGCACGTGCCTGTAATCCCAGCTACTCAGGAGGCTGAGGCAGGAGAATTGCCTGAACCCAGGAGGCGGAGGTTGCGATGAGCTGAGATCGCGCCATTGCACTCCAGCCTGGGTAACAAGAGCGAAACTCCATCTCAAAAAAAAAAATACAAAATGAGCTGAGCATGGTGGTGCACTGTAGTCCCAGCTACTCGAGAGGCTGAGGCAGGAGAATCACTTGAACCTGGGAGGCAGAGGTTGCAGTTGAGCTGAGATCGCCCCACTGCACCCCAGCCTGGCGATAGAGCAAGAGTCCGTCTCAAAAATAAATAAATAAGTAAAGACACATAATTCAGTCCACAGCAAGGGGACACCACGAGGGCTAATTAACCAGTGGGCACTGCAACAGAACACCTAAGTGGATGTAATGAGTTGTACTGTGCCATAATTGAAATATTTCATTTTGGTCAGGCTTCTTATGGTTGCAAGTGACAAAAGTCCAATTTAAACTAGCTTAAACACAAAAGGAAACTTTTTGGTAACATCACTGGGTAGGGGCTAGGTGCAATGGCTAGCTCAAGCCTGTAATCTCAGCACTTTGGGAAGGCCAAGGTGGGAGGATCACTTGAGGCCAAAAATTCGAGACCAGCCTTGGCAACATAGTGAGACCCTATGTTTACAAAAATTAAACAATAAGCTGGCATGATGGCGCATGCCTATGATCTTAGCTACTTGGGAGACTGAGGTGGGAGGATCACTGGAGCCCAGGAATTCAGTTACAGTGAGCGATGATCATGCCACTGCACTACAACCTGAGTGACAGTAAGACCCTATCTCAAAAAAAAAGGAAGGCCAGAAACAGTGCCTCAGCACTTGGGGAATCTGAGGCAGGCAGGTCGCTTGAGGTGGTGAGGAGTTTGAGACCAGCCTGGCCAACATGTTGAAACTCCGTCTCTACTAAAAATACAAAAATTAGCAAGACAATCTCAGCTACTTGGGAGGCTGAGGCACGAGAATCGCTTGAGCCTGGGAAGCGGAGGTTGCAGTGAGCTGGGATGGGGCCACTGCACTCCAGCATGGCAGGCAGAGCGTGACTCCCTCTCAAAAAAAAAAAAAAAACGGAAATAGACCAACCTGGCCAACACAGTGAAACCTCGTCTCTACTAAAAATACAAAAATTAGCTGGGCATGGTGGTGCAGGCCTGTAATCCCAGCTTCTTGGGAGGCTGAGGCAGGAGAATTGCTTGAACCCAGGAGGTTGAGGTTGCAGTGAGCCAAGATCATGCCAATGCACTCAGGCCTGGGCAACAGAGCCAGACTCCATCTCAAAAAAAAAAAAGGAAATAAAAAGAAAGAAATTTACAGTGGTTGGAATCAGGGACTTGGTGCCTCTCTTTCTCCTCTTTGGCTTTCTTTGCTCGTGCGCTCATTAGTTTGCATTACAGATAAGCTTTCTAAATCTTAGAAACAGACTTCTGGCAATTCCAGTGGAGTATGAGGAAACCACACTTTTTCTCATTTTCTACATCAAGTCCAGGGAAATACTCTGGCCCTCCTTGAGCCAGATCTCAATATTATCTGACTATAATATCAATCAATATAAATCTAGCTCTTATCACCATCTGACTTACGATTTATACTTTTATTTTACTTATTGCTTTATTTATTGACTGTTTCCTTCCCCCACCGGAATATAAATTACATGAGAGAAGATATTAGTTTTGTTTTATTCAGAGACAAAATATTTATTAACCACAGCAGGTAGCTTAATAAATATTTGTTGAATGTTACGCACTATGTATTATCTTACCTAATCTCTCGATCCTTTGAGGTAGGGACTATTATTAGACTCATTTTACAGGTTAGGAAACCAAGGCTTAAGTTAGAGAATGTATACGCAGTCATATTCCTAGAAGGTTGAGAAGGTTGAGAAGCTTGAAGTAGTAGCCAATGCAATTAGGTAAGAGAAAGAAATAAGAGGCATCACATTGGAAAGGTAGAGGGAAGATTCTCATTTGAAACAGAATTTCTCTGACTCTAGTGCTTTCAACCATAATATTATTACTATAATCATAATCATCATCATTAAGATCCTTTATTTTCAGAGCTGCACAGATAAGAGGTCTGTAATAAAGGCCAGGTGCAGTGGCTCACACCTATAATCCCAGCACTTTGGGAGGCTGAGGCAGATGGATCACTTGAGGTCAGGAGTTTGAGACTAGCCTGGCCAACATGGTGAAACCTGATTTCTACTAAAAATACAAAGATTAGCCAGGCATGGTGGGGGGTGCCTGTCGTCCCACCTATTCAGGAGACCAAGGCAGGAGAATCGTTTGAACCTGGGAAGCGGAAGCTGAGTGAGCCGAGATCACACTATGCATTCCAGACTGAGCAACAGAGCAAGACTCCAACTCAAAAAAAAAAAAAAAAAAAAAAGATCTGTAATAAAATAACTCATTGAATTTTTGCCCCATGTTTCTCAGTGGCCTGATTTCACCAAGAGAAGGCCCAGAAGGAAGAACAGAAAAAGATGCTGTAGTTACCAGGGCCAACAATGCCAGCAGGAGCAAGGAGGAGAAGACAATCATAAAGAAGCTGTAAGTGTCACCCTGCTGCCCCCGGTCCCACTAAATAATAACTCAAGGAAGCAGTTGGGGCGAGAGGAGGCTGTCCAGCTGTCCAGGACAGGCAGGCCCTCCCCTCTCCCAGTTGTGGTGCTGCAGCTCATGGGAAAACTCAACGCCGGTGTATTATAATGATATCTGCCAGGCAGTAGCTTAGGCACTTGGCATATATGAATTCATCGAATTATCACAGTGACCCTGCAAAGTAGATGCTATTTTACAGATGGAGAAATACATACTGAGAGGTAAGTAAGGTAATTTGCCCAAGGGTGCAGATGGTAGATAGTGAAGTCAGGAACCCAAGGAAGTCTGGCTTCTACACTCTACTGCCTCCCTGTGATATGATAACAATGACCAGGCTGGGTACAGTGGTCACGCCTGTAATCGCAACAGAGATTACAGGATGCTAGGGCAGGAGGATTGCTTGAAGCCAGGAGTTTGAGACGAGCCTGGGCAACAAAGTGAGACCCCACATGGACCAAAAGAAAAAAAATTGTTTTTTTTTGGAGATGGAGTCTTACTCTGTGGCCAGGCTGAAGTGCAGTGGCACAATCTTGGCTCACTGCAACCTCCACCTCCTGGGTTCAAGCAATTCTCCTGCCTCAGCCTCCCAAGTAGCTGAGACTACAGGTCCGCACCACCACAGCCAGCTAATTTTTTTTTTTTTTCTGAGATGGAGTTTCGCTCTTGTTATCCAGGCTGGAGTGCAATGGCGCGATCTCTGCTCACCGCAACCTCCGCCTCCTGGGTTCAGGCAATTCTCCTGCCTCAGCTTCCTGAGTAGCTGGGATTACAGGTGCACACCACCATGCCCAGCTAACTTTTTATATTTTTAGTAGAGACGGGGTTTCACCATGTTGACCAGGATGGTCTCGATCTCTTGACCTCGTGATCCACCCACCTCAGCCTCCCAAAGTGCTGGGATTACAGGTGTGAGCCACCATGCCTAGCCCAAAAAAATTTTTTATTGGATTTTAGGTTTTGGGGTACATGAGCAGAGCATGCAAGACAGTTGCGTAGGTACACACATGGCAGTGTGCTTTGCTTTCCTTTTCCCCTTCACCCACATTTGGTATTTCTCCCCAGGCTATCCCTCCCCACCTCCCCCTCCCACTGGCCCTCCCCTTTTCCCCCCAATAGACCCCAGTGTTTAGTACTCCCCTTTCTGTGTCCATGTGTTCTCATTTTTCATCACCCGCCTATGAGTGAGAATATGCGGTGTTTCATTTTCTGTTCTTGTGTCAGTTTGCTGAGGATGATGTTCTCCAGATTCATCCATGTCCCTATAAACGACACAAACTCATCATTTCTGATTGCTGCATAATATTCCATGATGTATATGTGCCACATTTTTCCAATACAGTCTATTATCAATGGGCATTTGGGAAAAAAAATTTTTTTTTAATTAGCTAATATTATTTAATCAGCCTTCTGGCTGAGATCAAATAAAATTAGCTGACCTGCAACTGTGGTCCCAGCTACTCGGGAGGATGAGACAGGAAGATCACTTAAGCTGAGGAGTTTGAGGCTGCAGTAAGCTATTATTACACCACTGCACTCCAGCCTGGGTAGCAGAGTGTGACCCTACCTCTGAAAAAAGAAAGAAAACGAAAATGTTAATAACGATAGGGCACAGTGGCTCATGCCTGTAATCCCAGCACTTTGGGAGGCTGAGGTGGCTGGATCACCTGAGGTCAGGAGTTCGAGACCAGCCTGGCAACATGGCAAAACCTCGTCTCTACCAAAAATACAAAAATTAGTCAGGCACGGTGGCACATGCCTGTAATCCCAGCTACTCAGGAGGCTGAGGCAGAAGAATCGTTTGAACCCAGGAGGTGGAGGTTGCACTGCACTCAAGCCTGGGTGACAGAGTGAGACTTCATCTCAAAATAATAATAATAATATAATATAATAAGCCAAGCTCGGTGGCTCACACCTGTAATCCCACCACTTTGGGAGGCCCAGGCTTGGGGATTACCGGGTCAAGAGATCAAGACCATCCTGGCCAACATGGTGAAAACCCATCTCTACTAAAAATACAAAAATTAGTTGCACTTGGTGGCGTGTGCCTGTAGTCCCAGTTACCCAGGAGGCTGAGGCAGGAGAATTGCTTGAACCCTGGAGGTGGAGGTTGCAGTGAGCCGAGATTGCACTACTGCACTCCAGCCTGGTGACAGAGCGAGACTCCATCTCTAAATAAATAAATAAATTTTTTATGACAGAGTCTCGTTCTGTCACCAGGCTGGAGTGCAATGGCGCGATCTCCGCTCACTGTAACCTCCACCTCCCTGGTTCAGGCATTTCTCCTGTCTCAGCCTCCAGAGTAGCTAAGACTACAGGCGCGTACCACCACCTCCAGCTAATTTTTGTATTTTTAGTAGAGACGGGGTTTCACCATGTTGGCAAGGATGGTCTCGATCTCTTGACCTCGTGATCCGCCCGCCTCAGCCTCCCAAAGTGCTGGGATTACAGGCATGAGCCACCGCGCCTGGCCATAAATAGATTTTTAATAAATAAATAAATACAAAATGAGCCAGGTTGGTTGAGGCAAGATCATCGCTTGAGGTTGCAGTGAGCCGAGATCATGCCGCTGCTCTCCAGCCTGGGCGACAGAGCAAGACTCCATCTCAAAAAACAAAAAGAAAAGCAAGAGTCAGTATCCTCTTCCTAAGGACAAAGAATGGGAGCAACAGGTGGTTTCAGCCTGCCTGTGGGAAATGCCCGAGGCCCTCTCCCTGCCCCGTGTGGGACCACTCCTCTTGAGTGAGCCCGTGTCGCAGTGCTGGGACATGGTTTCCTTTGAATACTTTCCCTCACGTCTGGGTACCAGGGTTGATCCCTTAGTTCTTCAGATGCTGTCTGTTAAACCAAGAGTGAAGTGCTTGTGGAAAATTCACATTCTAAGAAATCAAGTCAGTGGTTTTTGGATGAAGCTCAGAAATCTGGATTTTTTTTTTCACAAGTTTTTTGGGCAATTCTGATTTGGGGAACCCCCTGGACCACACTGATATGTGCCCTCTTAGTTGCCAGGTGTCAGGACAATAAGATGTGGCTTTCTTGTGCCCCATTCATTCAACAAATATTTATTGAGGCTCTATCCTCAAAAGTAAAAAATAAACAAAATTAGCCGGGCATGTTCCTGTAGTTCCAGCTACTTGGGAAGATCTCTTGAGCCCGAGGTCCAGGCTACAGTAAGCCATGATCTACCACTACACTCCAGCCTATATGACGGAGCAAAGTCCCATCTCCCACTTAAAAAAAAAAAGAGCATTCCTGGCAGCTAGAACAGTAAGTATAAGAGCCTCAGGCTACAGAAATTTCCAGAACAAAATATGGTGACTGGAACAGGGAAGAGAATGGAGGTAAGACTGGAGAGGTGGGAGGGGCTGCGTCACCCAGGGCCTCGTGGATTCTGGTGCGGACTGTGGGTTTTATTCTAGGTGCGTTGGGAAGAGCGTGGATAGTTTTAAGCTGGAGAGTAACGTGACTGTATTTACATATGAAAAGCTCATTCTGGTCGCCTTGTGGAGAACGGCAGGGAGACAGGGTCCAATGGGATTGTTTCTTTTCTTTATTTTTTGAGATGGGGTTTCACTCTGTCACCCAGGCTGCAGTCCGGTAGCTTGGTCTCCCAGGTTCAAGCTATTCTCCCATCTCAGCCTCCCAAGTAGGTGGAGCCACAGGTGTGCGCCACCACACCCAATTAATTTTTGTATTTTGGGGAGAGATGGGGTTTCTTCATGTTTCTCAGGCTGGTCTGGAACTCCTGAGTTCAAGCAATCTGCCCACCTTGGACTCCCAAAGCACTAGGATTACAGGTGTAAGCCACTGCGCCCAGCCTAATGGAAGTATTTCTTCCACAAGGAAGGGTCTTCTGAGGTAAGATAATGAAAGAGCACCTCCCCCGAGGTGTCAGATCTGAAGGTGTTCATTTAGGACTTTCATTGGCCATTTTCTTGCAAATCAGGCTTCCAGAAGGCATAAACTACTGGTTTCTTTCAGCCTCCTACGGGAGTTTAGGACACCTAATTGGAGTTTGAGCCTAATTGGGCAAAAGTTAAACGTGTGTTCTGTGCATGAGCTAGCCTGAGGACATGTGGCTAGTGCTAATGAGCATGAGTCCACCCTTTCAGGATCAGATAAACTTAATGAGCTACTGGAATGAATGAGTGAATGAATGAATGCATGCATGAATGAATGATTTTTTTTTGAGACAGGGTCTTGCTCTGTTGCCCCGGCTAGAGTGCAATGACATGATCTCGGCTCACTGAAGCCTCTGCCTCCCAGGTTCAAGAGATTCTTCTGCCTCAGCTTCCTGAGTAGCTGGGATTATAGGCACCTACCACCATGCCCAGCTAATTTTTGTATGAATGAATTCTTTACTTTTTTTTTTCTGAGACAGAGTCTCACTCTGTTGCCCAGGCTGGAGTGCAATGGCTCGATCTCAGTTCACTGCAACCTTCACCTCTGAGCGTCCAGTGATTCTCCTGCCTCAGCCTCCCAAGTAGCTGGGATTACTGGCACACGCCACCCCACTTGGTAAAGTTTTTTTTTTTTTAGTTTTTGTAGAGATGGGGTATCATCATGCTTCCCAGGCATGTCTCGGACTCCTGGAATCGAGTGATCCTCAGCCTTTTGCCTCAGCCTCCCAAAGTGCTGGGATGACAGGCCCACCACAACCAGCCTGTAGATAGTTTGGAGTCAACAGCTGCAATACCTACTTAGAAATGTTACGGGGGTATCTGCAGCCCTTGCTTTGTTCCTTCTGCTTACCCTGACCCCTCTCTCTCCACACCAGGTTCTCTTTCCGATCGGGGAAACAGACCTAGATCCAAGGCCACACCTAAGGCTATGGCTCTGACTCTAGGACACCACCCTCCAAGACACCTTGCAAAGCCCTCTCCGTGCCACACATACACACTGGGCCTGTGTATGTATTTCCCCTTCAAAACAGACTAAGGATGAAGGAAACAAGGTTCTCTTGGCACCACTTTCTCCCTGGCTGTGGGACTGGACACGCTTGAAGATTCGGTCTGGGCCAGTGAAGCAGAAATCAAGAAATACAGAAGGATGTGCGGCGGGGCCCACTTCCTGCTCCCACGTCAGCGCCCAGGCCCTCCAGCGTGCAGACGCGTGTCCTGCTCATCTGCTCCCAGGGATGACCCTGGTCTTTTATGTTTAGCAGAAGGGAGAAAAGAAAGCAGGAAAATGTGCTATTGATATTCCAGTGGTGACTTCACTGATATTTAGTGAATATTTGATTTAGCAAACGTGCCTTTCTTTATGTGATTTTGTATTAAAGTCAAATGACTCTATACTTTCTATAGCTTGTCTAGAGTGGTCTCTTAGGTACAATGGTATACCTGGTATATGTGTGTATATGACACATACATTTCATTGTAGAGTGAATCAGTTGCAGTCATTGAATCTACGCGGTGCGCCTGTATTTGGTGTCACTCTGAAGGGAAGGAGTGCTGCACACTGAAATGCAAAGATGCTATCGATGTTAGGACTCATCTTGGTTTCAGAGGTGCTAAGATGTGAATGAAATGCGTTTAGGAATCAGTAAAACAGAGAGCAGCTATCTGTACTTTGCAAAGGAACTAATGAGCTTGCCGGCCGTTCCACGAGCCTGTCTTAGTAAATCACAGCAGCTTACTCAATGTGCTTCACTGGCTCCATGGAGTATACCATTTGTTCCTTATAACCCGGGGAGAGGGGACTGGTACTGGGGCCCAGTTTATAGATTTTTTGTTTTGTTTTGTTTTTGTTTTGAGATGGAGTCTTTGCAACAGCTGGGGCTCACAAAGAAACAAAAAAATAGTGGAAAAAAAAAAGAGATGGAACCTTGCTCTGTCGCCCAGGCTGGAGTACAGTAGCTCGATATCGGCTCACTGCAACCTCTGCCTCCCAGATTCAAGCGATTCTCCTGTCTCAGCCTCCAGAGTAGCTGGGAACTACAGGTGCATACCACCACACCCAGCTAATTTTTGTACCTTTTTTTTTTTTTTGAGATGGAGTTTCGCTCTTGTTACCCAGGCTGGAGTGCAATGGCGCGATCTCGGCTCACCGCAACCTCTGCCTCCTGGGTTCAGGCAATTCTCCTGCCTCAGCCTCCTGAGTAGCTGGGATTACAGGCACGCGCCACCATGCCCAGCTAATTTTTTGTATTTTTAGTAGAGACGGGGTTTCACCATGTTGACCAGGATGATCTTGATCTCTTGACCTTGTGATCTGCCCACCTTGACCTCCCAAAGTGCTGGGATTATAGATGTGAGCCACTGCACCCAGCAATTTTTTTTTTTTAGACGGAATCTTGCTCTATCGCCCAGGCTGGAGTACAGTGGCATCATCTGGGTTCACTGCAGCCTCTGGCTCCTGGGTTCAAGCAATTCTCCTGCTTCAGCCTCCCAACTAGCTGGGACTGCAGGCATGCGTCACCACACCCGGCTAATTTATGTAATTTTAGTAGAGACAGGGTTTCTCCATGTTGGCCAAGCTGTTCTTGAACTCCTGACCTCAAGTGATCCACCCATCTCAGCCTCCAAAAGTGCTGGGATTACAAGCATGAGCCACCATGCCCGGCCAGTTTATGGATCCAGAAACTGAAACTCAGGCTGTGGAGCTAGGAAATAGCTGCCCAGGAGGCAAACGCAGGCCTGATTCCAAGGCCCAGGCTCCTCGCTGCCAAGTTCTATGAGTCCAGAGCTGCTGACAAGTCCTAATAATGTTAATAATTTACGGTATGCCTCATCTGCATCATTCTAAGTACCTTTCTGATGCTGTCTCATATACCTTTGTGGGATAGGTATCACTATTGTCCATGGTGTCCACACAAGGAGGTTAAGATATAATGGGTGACAAGTCTTATCCAAGGTCCTCAGCTACAAAGTGGTAGAAGCGGGACATGAACCCAGGTACAAAGTCCGCACCCAGGCTTCAACCACTCTGCCTTCCAGGAAGAGTTGGCAGTGTTTAAGAGTCTAGTCCAGGGCCGGGCACGGTGGCTCACGCCTGTAATCCTAGCACTTTGGGAGGCTGAGGCGGGCGGATCATGAGGTCAAGAAATTGAGACTATCCTGGCCAACATAGTGAAACCCAGTCTCTACTAAAATATTTTTAAAAATTAGCTGGGCTTGGTGGCACACGTCCCAGCTACTTGGGAGGCTGAGGTAGGAGAATTGCTTGATCCTGGGAGGCGGAGGTTGCAGTGAGCTGAGATCACTCACGCCACTGCACTCCAGCCTGGCACCTGGCAACACAGCGAGACTCTGTCTCAAAAAAAAAAAAAGAGTCTAGTCCAGAACACTGTCGTTAGATCAGGGCTCCTGATCCCAAGAACCCTGATTAACACTGCAACCCTGGCCAGGAGTAGCAGTTCAAGCCTGTAATCCCAACACTTTGGAAGGCCAAGGTGAGAGGATTGCTTGAGCCCAGGAGTTCAAGACCAGCCTGGGCAACATAAATAAAATACTTGTTCCTCCGTACTGCAAGGAAAAATTAACATCCAGACAAGAAGTTTTCTCAGAAAGGCAATTTCACTTTCTGCAGAAAGGCTGCTGCCCATCAGCAATCTTGCCATAAAAGCACAATGAACAAAGGAAAGGCAGGCATATTTATTCCTTACGCATTGGGTCCTTACTGCTATGTCCCGTCTCTGTTGGTTGGAGCCAGACCTCACAATCAAAACTGAATCCGATTGGCTAACAACTTAAAACTTTTCTAAATAGGCAAAGGCAATGGAGAACAAAGGAAAAAAGGAAGTTGCTTGCTAAAGAACTTAGGAACGTAATAACATTCCCAAATAAGGAAGGGGCATAGGCTGTGAGCTGGGACATGCCTGTGAAGGACATAGAATTTACTAAGTGCCTGTGAGCATGTCTAGCACAGATATCTTGGTTAAAGTTCAAGGACCTAGAACTTACTACGTGCCTGTGAGCACGTACAGCACAGATATCTTGGTTAAAGAACAAGGACCTAGAACTTACTACGTGCCTGTGAGCATGTCTAGCACAGATATCTTGGTTAAAGAACAAGGACCTAGAATTTACTACGTGCCTGTGAGCACGTCCAGCACAGATATCTTGGTTAAAGAACAAGGACCTAGAACTTACTACGTGCCTGTGAGCATGTCTAGCACAGATATCTTGGTTAAAGAACAAGGACCTAGAATTTACTACGTGCCTGTGAGCATGTCTAGCACAGATATCTTGGTTAAAGAACAAGGACCTAGAATTTACTACGTGCCTGTGAGCACGTCCAGCACAGATATCTTGGTTAAAGAACAAGGACCTAGAATTTACTACGTGCCTGTGAGCATGTCTAGCACAGATATCTTGGTTAAAGAACAAGGACATAGAACTTACTACGTGCCTGTGAGCATGTCTAGCACAGATATCTTGGTTAAAGAACAAGGACCTAGAATTTACTACGTGCCTGTGAGCATGTCTAGCACAGATATCTTGGTTAAAGAACAAGGACCTAGAATTTACTACGTGCCTGTGAGCACGTCCAGCACAGATATCTTGGTTAAAGAACAAGGACCTAGAATTTACTACGTGCCTGTGAGCATGTCTAGCACAGATATCTTGGTTAAAGAACAAGGACCTAGAATTTACTACGTGCCTGTGAGCATGTCTAGCACAGATATCTTGGTTAAAGAACAAGGACCTAGAATTTACTACGTGCCTGTGAGCACGTCCAGCACAGATATCTTGGTTAAAGAACAAGGACATAGAATTTACTACGTGCCTGTGAGCATGTCTAGCACAGATATCTTGGTTAAGGTTCAAGGACATAGAATTTACTACGTGCCTGTGAGCACGTCTAGCACAGATATCTTGGTTAAAGAACAAGGACATAGAATTTACTACGTGCCTGTGAGCATGTCTAGCACAGATATCTTGGTTAAAGAACAAGGACCTAGAATTTACTACGTGCCTGTGAGCACGTCCAGCACAGATATCTTGGTTAAAGAACAAGGACATAGAACTTACTACGTGCCTGTGAGCACGTCTAGCACAGATATCTTGGTTAAAGAACAAGGACCTAGAACTTACTACGTGCCTGTGAGCACGTCCAGCACAGATATCTTGGTTAAAGAACAAGGACATAGAATTTATTACGTGCCTGTGAGCACGTCCAGCACAGATATCTTGGTTAAAGAACAAGGACATAGAACTTACTACGTGCCTGTGAGCACGTCCAGCACAGATATCTTGGTTAAAGAACAAGGACCTAGAACTTACTACGTGCCTGTGAGCACGTCCAGCACAGATATCTTGGTTAAAGAACAAGGACATAGAATTTATTACGTGCCTGTGAGCACGTCCAGCACAGATATCTTGGTTAAAGAACAAGGACATAGAATTTACTACGTGCCTGTGAGCACGTCCAGCACAGATATCTTGGTTAAAGAACAAGGACATAGAATTTACTACGTGCCTGTGAGCACGTCCAGCACAGATATCTTGGTTAAAGAACAAGGACATAGAACTTACTACGTGCCTGTGAGCATGTCCAGCACAGATATCTTGGTTAAAGAACAAGGACCTAGAACTTACTACGTGCCTGTGAGCATGTCCAGCACAGATATCTTGGTTAAAGAACAAGGACATAGAATTTACTACGTGCCTGTGAGCACGTCCAGCACAGATATCTTGGTTAAAGAACAAGGACATAGAATGTACTACGTGCCTGTGAGCACGTCCAGCACAGATATCTTGGTTAAAGAACAAGGACCTAGAATTTACTACGTGCCTGTGAGCACGTCTAGCACAGATATCTTGGTTAAAGAACAAGGACATAGAATGTACTACGTGCCTGTGAGCATGTCCAGCACAGATATCTTGGTTAAGGTTCAAGGACCTAGAACTTACTACGTGCCTGTGAGCACGTCCAGCACAGATATCTTGGTTAAAGAACAAGGACCTAGAATTTACTACGTGCCTGTGAGCATGTCTAGCACAGATATCTTGGTTAAAGAACAAGGACCTAGAACTTACTACGTGCCTGTGAGCATGTCCAGCACAGATATCTTGGTTAAAGAACAAGGACATAGAATGTACTACGTGCCTGTGAGCACGTCCAGCACAGATATCTTGGTTAAAGAACAAGGACCTAGAATTTACTACGTGCCTGTGAGCACGTCTAGCACAGATATCTTGGTTAAAGAACAAGGACATAGAATGTACTACGTGCCTGTGAGCATGTCCAGCACAGATATCTTGGTTAAGGTTCAAGGACCTAGAACTTACTACGTGCCTGTGAGCACGTCCAGCACAGATATCTTGGTTAAAGAACAAGGACCTAGAATTTACTAC